TGAAGCTTACCTTGTATGGAATAAAGTCATAACAACTGATTTAATTTCCTTGTCTGCTAATGTTAATATCTGTGCCAATTTTGGGTTGTTTTTAATTAACTGATTTTTCTCTTCATATATATATAGGACAATTTTTAATTAGGTGCCAGACACCAGAGCTTTTACCTGGTTATGCTGGACATTTTTGTATTCACAGAAATATTCTTGAGTTCTCTTTTTGATACAGTCAATTTACTTGGAAACATTTTTTTTCTTTGCACCTTGCCTTAAAGATTTGTTTGCCTTTAAGATTTGTTTGTCAAATCTTTGTTGAGGATACAAACATGAAGAAGACATAGCTCCTGTTCTATTTAGAAGTATAATTAAAATACAAAGCAGAATATAACAAATGGTACAAACTAAATGTGGATGTCAAATGGTACAAACAGAACCCTATAGTGGGATTAATAAAGAGGGGATATTTGAGAATAACTCTGAAAGATGATCAGGGTTTAGTCAGGTGTTGAGAAGGGTAAAGTGTTCCAGATGGAGGAAACATTACAAGCAGACACTTTTGGGAAATAGTGCATTTTGGGGAAATCGTACATTTTTCGAAAACAGTACATAGTTTAATATGAGTAGAGTCTGTATATTCATAAGTATCAGGGGATAAAGTTTCTCATCGTTATCAGCCTATCTTTCAATGAGAGCTGAGGCTAGATTTCAGTATTATCCCTGTCTAGATCTTTATTAAAGGCTAATTTCTGGTAAAAAAAAAAATTAGGTATTATGTCATATGGTTGAGAGTGAGAGCTCTGGAGATGGATGTCCTTGGGTGAATTCAGGACTTAGCTCCACACTCTTAGGCTGAATTCTGGTTAATTTGCCCTATCTAAGCCTCACTTTCCGTACTTGCGAAATGAGTAGCATGCACTAACACTTAGCGATTTTGGAAGATGAAGTAAAATAATGCAGTTGAGGAGCCTGGTATATAGTACGTAGCTATACAAGTAGACTTTCCACAAGCTTGTGCCAAATATTCTCTGTGACAACTGTATGTGAATACTAACGACAGTTCTGCCTCAGATGCATGGTGTCAGCTACATGATATTAAGCTCATGTTTTTCTTTTCTTCTTCTTCTTCTTCTTCTTTTAAAAAAAAATTTTTTTAACATTTATTTATTATTGAGAGACAGAGAGGGACAGAGCATGAGCTGGGGAGGGGCAGAGAGAGGGGGAGACACAGAATCTGAAGCAGGTTTCAGGATCTGAGCTGTTAGCACAGAGCCTGATGCCGGGCTTGAACCCACGAACTGGGGCTCAAACCACAAACTGTGAGATCATGAGCTGAGCTGAAGTCCAACGCTTAACCGACTGAGCCACCAGGGTGGCTAAGCTAATGCTTTTCAAAATACCTGTGATAAGCCTTTTGGGTCTGTTCCTGGGGCTTGATAATAACTCATAGCAACTCCAACTCATAGTTACTGCTCCTGTGTTCTGCTGAAGTATTGCTGGAGATCAGTGGAAAAGGTCATAGGAGTATTTATTTGTCATTTTTCTTTCATTTTTTTTATTACCAAGTATAAGTTAGTGTAGAGAGTCATTAACTGAGCTTATTTTTCAACATCATTAAATCCTGCAATTTAGAAGAAGGTATATTTAAACCAGGTATGTAGAAGCTAGTGTATTTGCTAATTTTCTTTGGATTATTTTACTTTTTACTTAATCCTTTCTTATATTTTATTGTCATTATATTTCAAAATAGTCTTTCATATCAAATATACATATTAACTTGCTTAAAGACACACTCAGCCTTGTCTCCATCTTGGCTTGTGGATGGTGATGGAAAGAGACATTTGATTCTCTTCTTCAGGGCCAGGGAGGCACTGGGTAGAGTATTCGGTGTGTCTGCGGTAGTGTGGGTTGGTCAGGACTGCAGGAGTCCTCAGCCTCTCTCAGGAGACCACTGGGCTTCACAGGGGCCTGGCTCCTTTGTTGAGGCTTAGCATTGTCACTATGTATTGACACATATTAAAAAAAATTGAATCCCAAACACCCTCAAACTACCATGGGTATTTTGGGAGATATTTCTTTCTAATTATTTTCCTATTCATATTTTAAAATAATTGATTATTTTTTGATTTCAAAATGTTCATTCACTGTAGAGAAGTTGGAAAATAAAAGCTCAAATAACACATAATATGCATATGAAATATAAATGAAGATCACTGTACATACTAATTTATAACAATCTTTTTACTTCATTGTATGCCATTTCTTTACTGTTTGTCATATATATTTTATGAATTTAATGGAAAGGAAAGCAAATATATACTTCTGTATTTTGCTTTTTTCAATCAAACATTCCTGGACCCCTAACTTTCTAGGTTACTTCCTGATCTTTTTTTTTTAACGTTTTATTTTTGAGAGAGAGAGAGAGAGAGAGAGAGACAGCATGAGCAGGGGAGGGTCAGAGAGAGAAGGAGACACAGAATCTGAAGACAGGCTTCAGGCTCTGAGCTGCCAGCACAGAGCCCGATGCGGGATCAAACCCATGAAGTGTGAGATCATGACCTGAGCTGAAGTCAGACGCTTAACCAACTGAGCCACCTAGGCGCCCCACTTCCTGCTTTTTATAAAACATTAATGCGACAGAATGGTTGTACTATAATATACATAAAACTATCCTGCTATTTAATATTTAAGTTCCTTATACTTTATTTTATTTAAAATATAGTGGGAATCTAATTTTATGTAAACAGCCTTTTCCATATTTTCAATTATTTTGTTAAAGTACATTCTTATAAGTAGAATCACTATATCAAAGATTATATATCCTTGAAGTGGTTTTAAATATTATTAATCAATTTCCAGAAAAGGTGTATGTGCAGCTGTAGTGTATAGATGACTGGTTATGGCATATCCTCAAAAATTTTAAATAAAATTAAGTTAATAGTTTAGAAATAACATCTTCTGGTTTTCATTTGCAATTGACTGGTATAATATCTTTTTAAGTAAGCTGTGTATTTGCTTGTGTTAATCTCTGCTTTGTTATCTCTCTGTGCCCTTTGTTCATTTTATTCTATTGAATTTTTAATATTTTTATTATTAAATTGTATAATTAAGGTAAATATCTTAATGTTGTATTTCTTTTGAGGCTTTTCCTCTCAATCCCTGTCCCTCACATATTTTTTTTTTGTTTTTTCTTTTGATTCTATGAAAAGGAAAATGTATTACAAATAATTTCAATTCAAATATACAGTAAATACTTGATTCCTTATTGAGAACTGACAGGACTTTTGGGGGTGGTGGGAAATGAAGCATAAAAGTTTAGATTATACCACAGTGACATTTATGCTTTTTATCTCTACTTCCTTTTTCATATGAAAAATATGAGAAGTTCATAGTTGGTTGCTAATCTGCATCTTAATAGACAGTTTTTATTTTTAAACAGAAGGTATATATGTCAAATGTTATGTTGACAAATTAATTGACCATAATTGTCAAAATTGCTGGTTATTAATTTATTTTCAGTTTTTGTGTGTGAAAATGTAAACCTGCACAAGTGCCATGGTCAATTACGGTGCATTTGATGTGACCTAATTAGTATTGTGAGGAACCAACACATGGAAAAACAAATGGGACACATGCTAGGGACAAAATTGAATGTGACATGAATACTAATTTTGGCTTTATATTGTTTTATTCATTAAAGTCCCTCTTCTATAAAAGAAGAGAAAATAGACCTAGACAGTTATTGATCTTCATGTAGTAGGGGCTGTGTAAGGTACATTGCTGGACAATTATTTAATTCTTATGAATCTGTGAAGGAGGAATATTATTCCCATTTTACAGATAAGGAAAAAGACTCAGTGAAGTGAATGAAATTCCCCCAAACTGTATCCTGTATGAAGCAACTAAGATTTTACTCCATCCCTTTGACTCCAAGGTAACCTCAGTAGATTTCTTTTCAATTTTAGTCTTAATACCATCCCGAAATTTAAAAAGAAGCTTTTTTTTTTTTTATGGAAAATACTTCTTTTTTTTTAAGAACCAGGTATTAGTGAATGAGACAGTATCCCTGATCCCCAGATGGGATATTTATTTGTGAGAATAAATGACAGCTTTTTGAGAAAAGCTTCATATTCATCAGAAAGTCTCTATTTTTTCTATAGGTGCCAAGTCCTAGTATGATACCAACATTTAGACCTGGGCAAGTGGAGTCCCTGCCCTGGACTCTGGGTCTTCGGAAGCCTGTTTTCTGAAATTTTTCTAAGTCCTCCTCCAGTGCCATCTGGGCAGGGTGTCCTTGCCTGGACTGATATGTGGACCCTATTCCATTTTTCTCTTCAGGACACTTCTAACCCTCTCCTCTGTCTCCTCATTCCACCTACATATGAAGTTGACTAGGTGTCCAGAGAAGCTCCAGGGCTTGAGCCTACTGGGTCACCCCAGGCCCCATTTTTGGACTTTTGTCTCAGCAGGGAGGCATACTTAGCAGAAATTAATTTCCCTTTTCCCTTTGGATGGTCTGGAATTTCTTTCACAGGATAGTACCATGTGGACGCAAGAAGAGCTCAAATCTCTGGACTACTGATACCAACTGCCAACCTTTAGGCCTGTACAGGCCTGGGTCTCAGCCCCCATCTGTGCTCTGGCTGTGGGGCTGCCTTCTGGCTGCATCACCTGACGGTGAGGGTGGCGAGGTCATAGCAGTGCATCCTATGACTGATCTCTTCCCTGAACCTGGCACCCAGGTTGTGACTCTCTTTCCTCTTCAGGCTTTATGCTACATGTCAGGCAGTCCCTCTGAGGTGACCTTTCCTGTGTCTTTTCAAGATTGTAACTCTTCAATTTTAACAGGCCCTTTAATCAAATTCCTCTCTTGCCAATAAGATTGATTTCGTGATGTTGCTCTCCCTAGTTTACTATAAGGCATGCCAAGTGATGAACACATTTCTTAGAGCAAATGGAGCCATTCTTTATGCTTTTTCTAAGTGTCCTTTGCCTATCTTCCTGGCAGGTGGCATGTATAGAAGGCAGGAGTATAGTTTGAAAGTGATAATGCTCTAAGAATGGAGTGATCATGGCCTGAAGAGTTAAGAGAAGATGGGATTGGAAGATACTGTTTTACATTTATCCTGTAAAATTCTGAAGAGTGAATTTTTCATGGCCAGAAGGTGAGTTTTTGTGTGTGTTGTAAGACTTGCGTTTGTGTTTTTGTCAATAAGGCATAGTAACAAAGTTTGAGAGTCATTGGATGGAGGCATTCACAGGTGGCATGGTAAACAAAGCAGCGCCATGTGTAAAGGTGTGACCAGCATTGGCTGATGGTATTAGGAAACTGCCGGGACAAGATCTATATCATTTCATTGCAAATACGTTCTGAAGAGCCATGTTATTGTGAGTAATAACAGCACTGCTAAGTTTATCTTAGGGGGAGTTATAAAATTAGCCAGCAGTGGCACATTTGACAATAAAGAATGGAGAGATGATTCTTGGACCTGAATAAGAAGAGATGTTGACCAGACTTTATGAGACTCTTCGTGAACTAAATGGACAATAAACAAATATATAAGTACATTTTCTCAAACTAGCATTCTAAATTCCATTCATAAATCACTATGCTTCACATGGGCCCATGAATTTAGTTATACTTTTATTTTATTATTTTATTATGTTTATTTATTTTGAGAGAGAGAGTGTGTGTGTGTACACAGGTGTGTGTGCACAAAAGTAGGAGGAGGGGCAGAGAGAGAGAGAGAAGAGAATCCTAAGCAGGCTCTGTGCTGTCAGCTTGGAGCCTGATGCAGGGCTTGATCTCATATACCATGAGATTATGACCTGAGACAAAATCAAGAATTGGATGCTTGAGTGATTGAGCCACCCAGGCACCCCAGTTATACTTTTCAAAATCTAACTGATTATATATGTAGGGGATTGTAAAATATATTTGCAGGTACCTGCGTAACCTAGAGGCAGTCTTGTAAGATAAGGACATTTAGGTTGAACCATAAAAATTATTCTTCATGCGGGGTGCCTGGGTGGGTCAATTTCTAAGACATTTACAAAGGTTTCATAACATTAAAGAAAGATCACATGTATTATAATGAAAATCAGTCAGTATCTCCTAGTACTGTCTGGATTTTAGCTGTGCTCTCTCAAAAATACTGAAAAGGGAAATAAGGTGAGCAGGGACTTGGTCTCAGCTCTGAGTTCCCATCTCTCTTTTCTCTCCCTCACCTAATTGCTCTCACTGCCCTAACAATTCCTCACTGGAACCTGTACGACTAGAGTCACACCCAGTCCTTCCTTGCCTTTCCTCTTGCTTTCCCTGTGGCTGGGCAGGCAGCCATTATTAGGAGGCAGGGAGCAAAGACAGTAGGCCATAGGAAGCATATGGAAGAGAAGGAGGGACACAGGAGGAGGTACTTTAACTCAGGTTATAGTAGAGAAGCTGTCACACGTATGGACTACTACTTAGTGCCAAAAGGTAAATGTCTTAGAAGATACAGAACAAAGCATTTAAAAGCATAGAATGAGTAGCCAGACTCCCAGGGTTCAAATACGGGCAGGGCTGGGGAGCCTGGGTGTCTCAGTCGGTTAAGCGTCTGACTTCGGCTCACGTCATGATCTGAATTCATGAGTTTTGACCCCTCACTGGGCTCTGTGCTGACAGCTAGCTCAGAGCCTGGAGCCTGTTTCACATTCTGTGTCTCCTCTCTCTGCCCCTCCCCTGCTCACACTCTGTCTCTTTCTCTTTAAAAATTATTCTTCATGAGACTCTTCCTTGAAGTGGAGATTTCTTCACAGAGTGTCTATTTTTGAGAACAAAGAGGAAGTTGTCTTTATCTTCAAAATTTAAATGTCCAGCTGTTCACCATACATTTGTTGTCCTGAACCAAACATGCTCTAGGTTGGGTCTTCTCCATCATGGAACTAAATGCTGCCCTTGTTGAAAGCAGGTCTCAGCCGTGTCCATTGTTGTTCAGTTGGTATAAAAGTGTGTTTGTCAATCTTCATGTTTTTTCATTTCATTGGATGATCCTGAGAATCCCGACTCGAGGGCTTCTTCATGGAGGGAACACACCACAGGGAAGGCCCAAGCCTACTGGTATGAACTTGACAGAGCCAAACATTTTTTTTGGGCAGATTTGCCTGTTTCTGGTGGATTGCTGGCCCTCCTGGTTAACTTGTCTGCCTACATCCCACCCAGAATCACCTCATTAATACAAAAGATACTACGAATGCTCTTATCACTTAGGAATTTGCAAAGGTCTTGGGAGCCCTGTAGTAAGAAAAGGGTCAAAGACAAATCTTAGAACAAGAGACGCTCCTTGTGCTCTTAACATTTAGGAAATGACAAGGGTTTTAGGAGCTCTCTGCCAGGGATAGAGGACAGAGACCAACACATGTTTTCATAGGCCATGAAATAAGCTTAATTAAGTTTTATTTTCATGGCTTTACTGGTTTTGTCTGCTTGGGGATCTTCAAGTCTGGTCTCCCATTTTATTTTGACACCGGCAAGGGGAAACTTGGTGAATTTATCTCCGTTCCTTCCTGACCACCTCTTTCCTCTCTCCTTCTATAACATTAAAGAATAAGAGGGCATAAGCCCACAAGGGCCAAGACACAGAGAGGATAGCCGTCCTATATCAGAAGTTGATAACTAGGTACCTCCAGGGGAATGACACAGACATTTTGGTGAGGTCTGCCTCCACATATTGGTTTTTCATTTAGTTTTTAAGTTCTGTCTTAAATAGGGACATCCAAGACATTTGAAGAATGCCTCTAACATGCATAAAGGGATCAAAACCTGAAAACAAAACAAAACAAACAAAAACCTCTGGGGAAAAGAGTGCAAGGAACAGAAGAAAACTTAAAAATAAGCTATAGTTAATAGTCTCAGAGAGATGATACTTCATCACTGAAACAAGAATAAGAGGCAATTAAATAGAATAGGAAGGTTCAGGGAATAAGAAAGAGTTCCTGCCAGTTGAAAATATTATATAAAAATTAAAATTTCACTAGGTGGGGATGACATTGAATATGTCTCTCAGTTAGGGGAATAAAAGAATGAAAGGATGGAAAATAAGAGAGGAAAAACTTGGGAATATGTATAGGCAGATGGTTCAGAGGACCTCAAATTCCAGTCCCTCAAATACCAGTGTGGGTGGAAAGCAGCTGAGTGTGTTAGCATTTCTCCCTCTTAACTCCAAAAGGTGCTGTGTGAGTCAGTGCCCCCTAGAGGACCATGGGGTTGGAAAAAGTTGGATGAAGGCTATGTGGACTGATGGCTGAAGTTTATGTCAGGGTTGAGGATGTTAGCAAAGATACAATAACAAAGATACTGTGTCCCCAATCAGGTTAGGACACTGAGTGGAGGCCAGATAAAAAAGGCTGACATGCAACCAGATACTCCTTTCCCAAGCCCTCTATGGTAGTGTCAAGCCAGTCCACAACCCAGTTGCCAACAAGGAGCAGAAGCCAGGGGTTGAGTGGGACTGGCAAGAACTTAACAGGCCAGGTTTATTTATTTATTTATTTTATTTTCAAGTTTATTTATTTTGAAACAGAGTGAGAGAGAGTGTGTGTGCATGAGATGGGGAGTGGGGGGGGGTGGTAAAGAGAGAGAGGGAGAGAGAATCCCAGGCAGGCTCCAATCTGTCAGCATGGAGCCCGACATGGGGCTCTATCCCATAAACTGAACCATGAGAACATAACACGAGCCGAAATCAAGAGTCAGAGGCTAAATCCACTGAGCCATCCCGGTACTCCAGGAAGCCAAGTTTAAATAGAAGAGATTGGGTTACTTTGGTCAGTATATATTTTTCTGTTATGAGGTAGACATGGGGGCTTGAAAACTTTTAATTTAGTTATGGTGGTTTTAAGAAAATTACTTTTTCTTTACCCAACTTTTGTGCCTGAAAACCTTACCAATGACAGTCAATAAGGCTTAAGAAAAGAATACACATGACTATCATACATATGTAATTAATAGCTTTTCAAATAGCAAGTAAACATTAACTTTTTTCCTAATCAGTATTTGACTTGAATATTAACCAGTCCAGAAAACTATTGTACTTTAAAAAAATTATTTATTTTTAATGTTTACTTATTTTTGAAGGACAGAGAGAGGCAGAACATGAGCAGAGGAGAGGCAGAAAGAGAGGGAGACCCAGATCTGAGGCAGTTTCCAGGCTCTGAGCTGTCAGCACAGAGCCTGATGCGGGGCTCAAACCCACGAAACATGAGATCATGACCTGAGCCAAAGTTGGATGCTTAGCCAACTGAGCCACCCAGGTGCACATGTACTTTGTTTTTTCTTTTTAAGTAGTCTCCATGTCCAGGGTGAACCCCAATGTAGGGCTTGAACTTACGATTTTGAGATCAAGACCTGAGCTGAGATCAAGAATTGGATGCTTAACTGACTGAGCCACCCAGGCACCCCAGACTATTATTTTAATATCCAAAGCACACAAATGTACATACATTGTGTATCACATATTGCCGATGGTGCAGCTTTTATTGAGTAGTTATTATGATGTTCATGTTACCATGTAGTTACCGAAAAATGAAATTAAATGACCCTTGGTTTCGAGAGGCTTATCACCAAGAAGATAGGCAGTAAATAAAGGTTAAAAAAGAGCTGCACATGATAGAAACTTACAGGATGGAGAGCATTTCACGGGCTTGGGTGTTCAGAGAAACTAATGAGAAGATAGGAGACTTGACCTAGATGTAGAAGACTAGGGAGGATCCAGCAAGGAAAGACAAATTATCTTCAACCAACACAGCAGCCTGGAAGTCACTGTTGAGACACATTTTGGTATGAGCCTAATTTCAGTGGGAGAAGGGCAGTGGAGAACTTGTTATGTTTCTGTGGGTGGGAGAAGGAATAGGAACATATAGGGCATATTGTCCCAATAAGGGCATCTGTTTTTAAGATTGGCAGAGAGGTGAGAGGCAACATTCCATGTGGATGATATTGGAATAGCAAATGGTCAGACTGAAATATATATGGTGTATCCTGGATCCCACAGAGGATTTCACTGGGTGGAGTAGCTCCTTAAAATAATGATGATAATTCAGGATTAGATAGAAGCAGTCTTTGAAAACAAAGTTAAGTAAGAACTTGATTATCTATAGGGGATGCAGAGCTATTGAGATTTTTTTTGAATAGAAAAATGACATGGCCAAAATGGGAGCAAACAAAATGAATGGAGTTTCGAGATCTGAAAAGACCTTGAAGTAATAAGAGCAGTTAACTTGGGGACCAAATAACTGATAAATCTGAGTTTGTCTTGGATGCCTTTTTGATTTGTTCAAAGTTATTTAACAACAATTTGCTAAAAGTTCAACTTCTTCCTCTTAAATATTTGGAAACAAAATTCTGCCCCTTACTAGTTGTGGGAACTTATGAAAATTGATTAATATCTCTGGGGTTTAGGTTTCTCATCTGTATAATGAGCTGGTAAAATATTTCTTTTTTAAGTTTATTTATTCATTTTGAGAAAGACAGAGAGAGCGAGCAGGAGAGGGGCAGAGGGAGAGGGGGAGACAGAATCCCAAGCAGCCTCCCTCCTGTCAGCACAGAGCCCGATGTGTGGCTTGAACTCAGGAACTGTCAGATCAGGACCTGAGCCGAAAGCAAGAGTCAGACACTTAACCGACTGAGCCACCCAGGTGCCCCAAAATACATTATTTCTAAAGCTTCTCCCAGTGTTAATATTTTATCCAGTAACATTGATAACTAGTGACTTCATTTTCTTCTTCATCTCTTTTTCAGAATTAGTTCTCTTAAGAATAAATCTACTCCTTATGACCAAAAAGAGGTAAGTTGATTTACTTGTATGTGCTCATCTCAGTTAGCATTTGTGATATTTAGTAACTGAATCCTTAATGGGAATTCAGATTGAAAATGTTAATAAACATGTTTGGTCATAATGCTCTACACATGTGCATATTATTAATTTCATAATTTCCAAGCACATTTGAATCCATGTTCAATGTTCAAACAGTTTCATTTCCTGGCACATGAAATGGAGACTACATTGTTTCTCCTGCCCTATGTACCCTCTTTTTATACATCTGTAACTACAAAAGCGGAACCATTTATTTTGCAAAAGGTTTATCAGAGAACTAATTATAACATCAAGTGGGGTGGTGTTCAGAACAGTCTGAATGATAAGCAATGAGAAAAAAATAATCCAATAATTATTTAAAGTAGTGGGTGTTAGCTTCCACTGTGATCTGATGATGGTGGTAGCTGGGAAAAGCTTCAAAGTAACAATACACATCCAGCCATTGATGATATTTTGTTCTTCTCTTCATAGTTTATTTCATTACAAAAGTCCAGGGGATTGGGTCTATTTTTCCATTACCCTGGCCACTTACTCATGGCTATTGTGTGTGGTCGCTCCACATGTGCTGTGGGCCCTCTGCACTATTATCCTGGTCAACAAAAGGCAATTATTAAATTCTAAAAAAGCTTTAGATGAAACTGCCATGACAATAGGCATAGGTAATCAGAGGCGTAATCATGTTCGGCTGGAAATCTGTGCCCATAGAATGAACAGGAACACAGGGTAGTCTTTGAAGTCCATTTTCACGTAGACATCAAATGATACTGTCGGGTTTTTTGACACAGGTTGGAAGTATAAATGTGCATCATCAGCTTAGGGTCAAGAAATGACTTATGGGTCTCAGTTTTAGTGTCAGTGTATTTGCAAAATACATGATTTTCCAGTTTAGGACCAAATCTATTAGGGATATTGGTATGATGCCTTTCGGGTTGTAGAAGAGAAACACATCATAATATCCCTTGAGAAACAGATGGGTTTAGGGTGTATTGAATCACAGGTGCAGGAAAATAACAACTCAGACAAATAGCCTGAAAATAGGCTAGAGCAAGAGGCTGGTGTTGGTTCTGTGTTAAACATGAGATGCTACAAAAGGGTTTGTGTCAGTATGTTTCCGAGGAAAAGCATTTTTAGAAACAGCTGTATTGTGGTGTTATCAATGTCTGGATTGACTTCTGCATTTAGATATGCTTAGGTAACACGAAGGTTACTTTTTGATACTAAAAAGCAATAATGGCAGATTCTGGCCTGTGCCATTATTGAAAAGAGCTACAATAGTCCCAGTTAAGTGTTAATAGAAGAGTGCTGTGAACCTCAATCGCCTTAAACTATCTCCTTTTGCCTGCCTGACACAGTCTTATATTTCCACAGGGTGAGTGATTCCTTTAAGCCCTGGTTCCTCAGTCTTGTCACTGTTGACAGTCTGGGCCAGATCCTTTGTTGTGGGGGGTGTGCTGCACATCACAGTGTTTACAGCATTCTTGGCTTCTATTGATGTGCCAGTAGCGACCATCTCCCAGTTGCTAACAACCAAATCCCCAGACATTGTTAAATGTCCCCTGTGAACAAAATCACCCTGGTTGAGAAACAGCTTTAAGAGAAACTCAGGGACCCTAACCAGTCCTTGTTAAAATGTGGGGTGCTTGGGTGGCTCAGCCTAAGGTTAAGCAGCTGACTCAATTTCAGCTCAGGTCATGATCTCATGGTTCTGACAGTGCAGAGCCTGCTTGAGATTCTCTCTCTCCCTCTTTCTCTACCCCTCCTCTACAGGCATGTGTGTGCTCTCCCTCTCTCTCTCTCTTAAAATAAATAAACTAAAAAAAAAAAAAATGCAAGTGTTAAATGGTAGGAAAAACTGCTTCTCCAGCCAAGAACACCTTAGCATTCATTAGCTGCCTGATTTTCTCACATGAGAGCAGGGCTCAGAATGGGATATAAGTCAAGCTGATGAATGGAAGCAGGAGAGCCCTGGATGGAGAAAGGGCAAAGGCGAGGAAAGTGTGGCAGTGGAATACCACTTCAGGGATCCCTCTGCAGCCTAGAAATTTCATGAGGTGCCACAGTGAGAGAAGTGTGATGGCAAATGTGGGGAGAATGGCTTGAAAAGAAGTAAGGAGGCATTCAACATGCCAAGGGGCACTCATGTGCTGTAAGACCTTTACAGAGGAGAGCATGTTGGTCAGTTTGTAAAATTAGGTTTTGCTGTAGTCAAGCAGCCATGTTTACAATGATGTCAGTCAAAGATGGCTGAGTGGCACAGCAGGCGGCCATTTGCTCTGAGTGGGAGCTAGGAGGAGCACTCTGAATCATGCAGGTGCAAAAGAAAGAGCATGTGCTCTCAAGGACCTCTTTACCTCTAGAGGTTGTGGGAGCCGGGGGTCCAGGTGAGCCTGGGTGGCAGCCTTTCATACAAACACTTCCCTCCATCTGCTGCGAGTGAGCTGAGCCTGCAGTGAACACCCTGGGGGCAGATCCATCCTTTTGAGTATGCTGAATAAAATTATGGTATTTGAAAGTTTTCCAGGAACACATACAAACTCAGCAAAGAATGGGAACCACAGGAAAAATGCCAAAGTGAATGTTGACTATTTCAAAACACGGGCCTGCTAGATGTGCATGGGAAATAGACGGGCTTAGAGTTTAAGTGAAAACAACTGAAAAATTCTGGATTTCCTGTTCATTTTTCTTCCTTCTAACCCCTATTCTAGTTTGTTTTTGCTCTATTTTTAATGATTCCTCCTCTCACCAACTTCCCGATTTGGACTATTTCAGTAAATGAAGAAACAAAAAATTAACAATCTGTACTGTGTTCTGGTTTACTCTTATTCTTACCTCTACATCCTTTTTTTTTTTTTTTTTTTTTTACAAATAGTTTATTGTCAAATTAGTTTCCACATAACACTCAGTGCTCATCCCCATAAGTGTTCCTCCATGCCCATCCCTCCTCCCCCCCACATCCATCAGTCCTCAGTTTTTGTCAGCATTCAAGAGTCTCTCATGGTTTGCCTCTCTCCCTTTCCCCCACCATTTCCCCCCTTCTTCTCCCCCTTGTTCCTCCGTCAAGTTCCTCCTAATCCTCCTATACGTGCAAACATATGATATTTGTCCTTCTCTGCCTGACTTATTTCGCTCAGCATAACACGCTCAAGGTCCATCCATGTTGCTACACATGGCCAGATTTCATTGTTTCTCATTGCCATGTAGTATTCCATGGTATAGATAAACCACATCTTCTTGATCCATTCATCTGTTGATGGACACTTAGGCTCTCCTCTACATCCTTTTTTATTTGGTTTTCCTCTCTGCCCCCATCTTCTCTATATTGTTCAATTTTTCATGTTCTTCTGCTGTCCACTTTTTCTCTGCTATTCCTAAACTTGAAATCATCTAATCTCTGTATGTATGGCAACCTGGTGGCTTTGGAACGATATCAAGTTCAAACACCATTTTATTCCCATGAATGCCTTTGTACCTGTCACCCATGAGTCACAAATTTTGTTTCAGATATATTGTCTTTGTATCCATCTGAAATGTGAAATACAGGGGAAGGGGTTGACTGTAAAGTATCATGAGGAAACTCTTTAGGAATGATGGAAATGTTCTATAGCCTAACTGTGCTGTTGGCTATACAACTACATACAGCTGCCCAAACTCATCAAGTGTACATTTAAAATGGATGAATTTTATTTCATGTCAATTATTCTTGAAAAGTAGTCACTATAATAGTAAAATTAAGCACATGTTTTGACCATGGCCATTTTCCCATTAAAGTTGCCATGTGGCATGATTGTGCTTTACACATTTTCAGCCTTCCAGACTTTTCATTCTTCTGAGAACATGTATGACCTGTGGTGTCTTCATTTCCCACCCCTCACCCCCAACCCCATCCCAGAATGCAGGCCCCAGCACATCTGCACATCCCTGCTCTCAAAAGAAACCAATAGGGTATGCATCAAAGTGCAAAGGATAAAACACAAATGCAGTGGAGTTTCTTTTTTTTTAATTTATTTTTATTTTATTTTTTTACAAATAGTTTATTGTCAAATTAGTTTCCACATAACACTCAGTGCTCATCCCTGCAGTGGAGTTTCTAACTAAGGCCTGGTAAATAATAATATGTCTTTTAAAAAAGTATCAATCAAAATGATAAAAATGGCCTCAGTTATCTTGATCTTTTCAATTCAGCAGCTGTCCACAGTCAGATTTTGCAACCTGAAGGGGCTAGGGACCCCTCTAGGGGCTAGGGTCCCCTCTAGTGCCAATGATGGCCCTAGCAACTCAGGTCACAGAGCCTTCCTTTTTCCCCACTTAGAAGGAAATCTAGAGAATCTTCTCCCGGCATTAAGGCCGTGTATACGTATAAATCCACCCATGCATTCTGAGAGACAAGTGGACCACACTAAAGGAGAAAAGAAGGAGGGGTTACTTTACATCTTTCTGTTAGGGAACCTGGAGATATAGCAATGAATTCTACTTTTTCTGTTTTCTTAAAAATTATTTTTCCAGCTTTATAGAGATTGACACATAACATTGTGTAAGTTTAACATGTAAAACATGATGACTTGATATATGTGTATATTACAATAAGGTTAGTTAACACATGGTCGCCTCACATAGTTATCATTTGTGTGTGTGTGTGTGTATGTGTAGAACTTTTAAGATCTACCATCTTAACAGCTTTCAAGTATATAATACAGTATTGTTAACTAGTCACATTGCTGTACCCTAGATCTCCAGAACTTATTCATCTTGAGTAACTGAAAGTGAGGGGAATGGGTAAATGTTGAAGCTTGAATTTTTATAGTACTGTGAAACAAACCGACCCCAGAGCAGGATTTTAAGTAAGAAGGTCATTGCCTGTGTCATTTATTATTTTTACATTTATTTACTGTTAATGAGATACAATTCTAAGAAGAATTCCAATAATATTCTAAACAAAATTTCCCTTTGATTGGTAAAGTGAATCATCTTTTTTGCAGAGAATTTGGACTTTAAAAAAGGTACAAATAAAATGATGAAGACCACCTGTAATCTCATCATCCAGGCACACTCAATACCAACATGTTGATATATTCCCAGGTTTTTATTCTGTGTGTGTGTGCACAATTTTTATAAAAATTATGCAAAATTAATTTTATTGTATGTTTTTCACTGAGCCCTTCTCTGTATCCTTAAACAAATCTTCAGATATATAAATTTTAGTGACTTCGTATTATTCTGTTGTATGAGTGTATTATAATTTGTTTTACCAATTTTATATTTTTATATGTTTAAACTGTTTCCTTTAAATTACATAATATATGAATAGGTTTTGGTGATTTGTTTTCTTTTTATTCACCTACCTTTGATAGATATTTAGTTTTCTAAATACTTTATTTTAATGTGTACCTGGATAGTTGGCCTTCATAAATTCTTAAAAAAGTCAAATTGATGTCAATTTTGACTTTAGAACGTATAGTTTATTCTTCTGAACATACAAATTGAGATTAGTACAAGGAACAAAAAGTGGTACTATTAAACAAAGATTATATGATTTAATCTTGGAGCGCCACCTTCTGGTGAATTTTAAAATGGCATGGAACAGACCTCGGTTAGCTCTTATTTATAAAATTACTGTACTTGAACTATGACTGTTGCTTACATTCTTTTAGTGAACACTAAGGAAACTGATAACAAGAAAAATCTCATAACTTTAGCTTTTATTTTTTAATTCTTTATGTCATTAAAAATAACAATATTTTCAGTGTTTCAACAGTCTGTAAAATGGAAAACCTCATTGTTTGATATAAATTAATTAAGTGAATAGATGAATAGGTGAAGAATAAATTGAAAACAAATTGAAAAGTTAAAATATAAATAAAAGTAAAATATATGTGGTGAATGAAACCAACAGGTCCAGATAATTTTTATTAGTAAATTCTAACAACCTTTTAAAGAATAGATAATTCTATGCTATTTAAACTATTTGATAGCACAGATGCTGGAAATTACTGCTTTGATTTTATGATTCTAATAGACCATAATATCAAACTAAAGGAGGATGCACCACAACAAGGAAAACTCTGGGCCAATCTCATTTAGGAACATAGTCCTAAAATATTAAATAAAATATTGACATATGGAATGCAGTAGTATTTAAATAATAATATCATTAATCTAACATTTAATTTATACCATACCACCCAAATTTTAGAGTCTTAAATCAATAATCACTTATAAGCTGGTGATTCTATGGGTTGGTAATTTGTGCCAGGACAATTGGACAGTTCTCTTGCTAGTCTGGCTACGGACATTCCTGTGGCTTTAGGCTTCTGGTTGCTCATCTGAGACTAGGAGGCATAGGATGTTCTCCTTCACAAATCTGCCAGTTGGTGCTGGCTGTTGGTCTCCCTCTCCATGTGGTTTCTCATCCATAAGGGCAGAAAGAGGGTAAGAGCAGAAATGCAAGACCTTTGGAGGCCTAGATTTGGAAGTCACACCATGTCCTGTGGCATTTTATTGGTCAAAGCAACTTAGTTTCAAAGGATAGAGCAAGAGACTACCTCTTTTTTTAAAAATTTAAATTCAAATTAGTTAACATATAGTGTAGTATTGGCTTCAGGAATAAAATTTAGTGATTCATCACTTACATAAAACACCCAGTGCTTATCCCAACAAGAGCCACCTCCTTAATGCTCATCACTCATTTAGCCCACCCCTCACCCACAACCCCTCCAGCAACTCAGTTTGTTCTCTGTATTTAAGAGGTTCTTATGGTTTCCCTCCCTCTCTGTCTTTCTATTATTTTATTTTTCCTTTCCTTCGCCTATGTTCCTCTGTTTTGTTGAAATAGACTACCTCTTAATAGAGAGGTAGTCCCATTATAAAGGGATGTTCATACAGGGATGGGAGGCAGCCATCTTTGAACTCAATCTACCACAATCATTAAATGAGTGAATCTTTGTAAAACATGGGCACGTAGTGTTATATAAGTGTTTATCAAACAAACAAATAATCAATCTGGTTAATTCCAGGAATGCAAAGAGAGTTCACCATTAAAATGATCCACTGGAAGAAAACCCAAAACTACCTCTCAGAAAGGAGGCTAATACTGGTAATACAGATAGGCACCTTTCATTAAAGAATTTCAAAGACAAAAGAATATTGATTACTATCCCAATTTTTTGAGCTTTGAAAAATTATGGGAGCTTCCAATTTTAAGATGGGATATTGCATAATCTCCTCCACTCTATTCCACAGACAGAAATACTTAAAAATGTACTTTACAAAATTATAAAGTACATATACAAGCTTAAGAACAAGAGGAGGTTCAGGAGATGAAGAACGGACAGTGATGAGTGGGGACAAACCATGCCGCCCTCTTATGCTGGCATTGGACAAGGGCTATGGCACCCACAGCTTCCAAGCCTAATCAAGAACACATCCAAACCCCCTCAGGCTAACATTGCTGGCAAGCTGGAGCTGAAATAATTATGCCACATTACCTGGGTTGCAGCTAGAGATGGACTCTGGTAGATAAGAGAGAGATGTGAGTCAAAATGGAAAGGATGCCTGGGCTGCTTGTGGACGGAGACCTTGAGATTGCTTTGTCTAGAATGGGCAGCAACCCCAGCCCTCTAACCTGATCTGTGCTTGGGCACAGTGCGTGGGCTGAGGCAACCTCATAATCCATGAGAAAGACGTGGTTGGGGTAAAAACTACCATGCAAAACAATAGCATAAAGCAAAATTTCAAAGCACACAAGAAATTCGTGGTTATGAGACATTATAGAAGCAGTATTTTTCCTTGGGGATAAGTTTCTTTCAGATGACATCCTAAGAGTATTTTTTTTTTAGAAATTTAAAGACTATAGAAAGTATATTAATGATACTGTCGATTATAACAAGAATATGAAAATAGCAGCCAAGATTATATCAAGTGGTACATGTTAGGACAGACACATTTCAAAGGAAGCCAAGGTTATAGTGGAAAATGACAATTCCCAAACTCCTGGCATTCTTATATTACACACAGATCTAAGACAAGTGCCCCCATACCAGATTTATGCTTCACTGAACTAAGCCTGTCACAAAACCTCCTCACCAACAGTCCCTCCAGTTGCAATAATGGCTGCACAGGAATTAAAACACTCAGATTAGAGTTGAATACACCTGTATAATTACTATATACCAGAAGCTCAAACAAATCATTCTGCTTCCCCTGTATGTGCCCTAAAGCCTGATTCGAAGCCAAGTTGACAACCCTTACAGGCTAACGACAATTCTCTCCCCAATAAAATACCTCTGTGTCAGAACGACTAAGTATGTGTTGGGTAATTTCAAACTTTAAAACATTTTGACCTCACCTGACAATAATTTGATTATATGAACTACCCAATCAAGTATACTAATGACATCCTAAGAGTATTAATGTACTTACTCAACATATATTATGGGGCATCTACTATGTATCAAGTACTGGTCTAGTGACTGGTAGTAAACAGGGAACAAAACACACAAAAATCCCCCTCTTTGTGGAGTTTATATTCTAGTGGGAGGTCATAAGGAAAGGAATATTTCAGGAGTAATCTGGATAGGAAGATAGAGTCATAGAGGGACAGACACATGGCTGAGAGAGATTCATGAGTCACTAAGTCCCCGAATCCTGTCCTGCTCCAGCTGCCCCTCCACTTGAAATACTAACTACTGATCACTTAGTCTTTTTTTTTTTTACTGAACTACACAAATAGAGTAAAAATGAAATTAAATGTAAGGGGAAAATGTGCTTTTATCTTGCTCTTTGTTGAAAAAAAAACTAGCAGGACTAAAAGCCATGAAAGGATATGGTTCACTTATGAATAAAAATGCTTAGGGACCTCCAGCATGGACCAGAGAAGGGAAAAAAAATTATTCAAGCAGTTTAGAGATTGGGTAGAATTAGGGGTCAGCAAGTACAACATAGTCTCTTTTGTAGCATCTGGTAAATTTTCTAGTATTTTTTAAAAAATATAATGTCAGACTCTTTATTTTTAAAGGCAACCCAACCTGTGTTCATGCATTTTTCATTTTGTTCAAACTCAAGCCAGGTGTGTACTGGGCAATCGTATTTTCCTTTTCTAATTATATCTGAACTCGAAGCAGAGTAGAAAGAAAGTGGTCACAATGGTAAGAGGCTTCTGTGCTTCTTTTCCTGCCCCTTGTTATCATCTTGCTCTAAAGTGTTTCTATTGGAGAGTCACAATGATCACAGTGGAGGAGTTTAATTAGCTCCTAAAATTAATTTTTGAGGGAAAAAGTTGAACTTCACTGGCCACTGTGACACTTACTACTCTCTCATTCTCCTCCTCTGACTCAATCTTCTTAGATAAACAGCTCTTGAATTTTTGGTCAGGTCAGATATCCTATTTTGAGAATTTGATTACATCTATGAATTCACAAAAATACATGCATACATATAAATATATATATTTATGCATATAGTTTTATTGTAATTGCCCAATAAAATACATCTTTGGGAGCTAAGGGCACGAAACTCTGTCCTGGACAGTTTCTCTTCCTTGGTTTACATCTTTTAATGTTGAGGTTCGCAGGGAGTTGTCATTGACTATTTTTATTCTAGGGCCCCCTACCATTGTGCCTTTGTCTACTACCGATGCTTTCGACTCTCTCCCATAATGTGGACTTTCAGATTTACATTCCCAGTCGTGACATCACCTACCCACTGCCAAACGAGTATTCCCACCTGGTGGTGCCGGGGTGAAGTCGAATGGAATATATCTTTCAGGTGCTGCCACCAACCCATCTGCAGAACGCAAGCGGGAAACATGGACACTATCACTGGAAATGCGCCCATTCTCATTGAATCTCTTCTCCAACCCTCAGTGTCCAACCAATCACCAACTTATTTAGATTCTAACCCCTAAAGTTCTCTCCATCCACTTCCGCCCTTCTCCTCTACTACCCCTGCTTCAGTTCAGGGCCTCAGCTCTCTCCTGAGCTGTTGCATTCAATCTCCCGTGGCCCTTCTGACTCCAGTCTGGCCCTGCCTCCACAGTGTTGCCAAAAGTGTCTCTAAAAGGCAAATCCCATCATGTTACTCCTCTGCAGAAAGTGCTTAATGGTTCCCTATGACTTTTTGAGGAATTCAGTCAAGGCCTTTCATGATTTGGCTCTTCCTCCTGCCCTCTTCAAGCCCACACATCCTTTCGTTCTCTTCTCACCCGTCTCTCCTAGGCAGCCCCCCTTCTTAGTTTCATCAGTGTTGAGCATGTGTAGATTCCCGACGAGGCTGAGTTCTTCTACATCTGGTCCCTTTGCCCAGAATTCCAGCAGCACCCCCACCAAACACACTTACCCATTTCAAATTTTTTCCCCCTAAATTTCAAGGCTCAACTCAATCTCCTCTGAGATGCTTCCTCTCTCTCAAATGGAGTCATATGCCTCTCATCTCTGCTGGCTTTGATCTGGCACATCATTTTATAATTTTATATGTAGTGCATTATAATTATTTCCCTATTCAATATCTGCATTATAAGACTGACAGCCTCTTGAGGACAGGCGCTGTGTCCAGCCAACCCTTCTCTTCCCCAGGACCCGGCACAGGGCTTGGTTAGTAGGTATGGAGGAAACATGAAGTTGAATTGAACATCCATCCCTGTGAGGTAAAAGTTGGATTGTCTGTCCCTCATATGATGTTGCGAGTACTGCTTACTCGGTCAGTAAACCTCCATAAGGGAAAGCCAGTTTCTCCAGCCCCATCACTGTTGGCATAAGAACAAGTAGCAGAATGACAGACTAATCCATATTCTCTGATCAACCACACTGTGTGTTGCAGACGGGACAGCCTGCCCTTCTTGTTTCATCTCACAGCTGTTGTCATAGCTAAATATCATGCAGCTGAGGAGAAATCATTGCAAGCAGTGGGGCGGATGAGGCTTGATAATTGTAGTGAAGGATTTATTACGTGAACTTACAAAACTCCTGTGAAATGTTAGCAAATAACTAGGCCTCAGGGAGCAATAATTACTTTCATTCTGCAATTGCGGATGATGTAAAAGAAAAACAACAGAAACTGAAATTTTAGATACTAATATAACATAAATAGAAGGCAGGGCTAGAGAAAACCAGCCAAACAATTTTCTGTCCTCAGACATGAGGACAATATTTTGGACTGTGAGCCAATGACTTTTGGCATGCTTCCTTGCTGAAATTCCCCAGTAGAGCGCACCACTGGAGTTTATTGACCTTTTAATCTATACCTGTAATCCATTTCTGAAGAGGCTTTTTAAAAACACTTTGTGACCAATTGGGTATAAAATGTTACCGTCTCATTTGAATTTACCCGGTTTTGCCACCCACCTCACTTGTTATGTCTGTTTGTACTGAATATTCTAGTGGCAGAACAGAGTTCTTTTTTTATTAAAGATTTTTTTATGTTTATTTATTTTTGAGAGAGAGAGGGACAGACAGACAGCATGAGCAGGGCAGGGACAGAGAGCGAGGGAGACACAGATTCTGAAACAGGCTCCAGGCTCTGAGCTCTCAGCACAGAGGCTGATGCAGGGCTCGAACCCACCAACTGTGAGATCACAACCTGAGCCGAAGTCGGACGCCCGGCCAACTGAGCCACCCAGGCGTCCCCAGAGTCCTTTTATAATAGTTTGCCCAGACATCTTTTTGGATTCAACAATGAGTTTTTCCTCCCATGGCACACTGGTAGTAAATGAAAGCAGTACCAGGCCAAATGTGAGTGGAAGCACCTCTTCATCAATGTCTGACAGAGGGCTTATGCTATTTCCTTTAGAAGACATTTTTAAAAAATGAAATGAAAAAGGCAGGGAGGAAAGCTAAATATTTTATATTCTTAGGAGATGGTCACAGAAGTGCTATGAGCTCTTGATAATGTCTACCCACACATAAAAGGATTCTATTCAGGGAGTCCATGAAGGCATTATTGAATTGTTGATATAATGCAAGAGTCCTCTCTTCTGGAGTCCGGAAGTTTCTATATTCGTATGAGGAAAATTGTAATGAGAATGGAGCATCTCTTATGTCCTGACTCCTACACAGTAGTATTATATTAACTCCTTTTTCGAAGGCTCTTCTTGTCAATTAGCTGCTGAAAGTCTCCATCTGGAACAGAAACCCTGAGGTCCCTCCCCTGGAGATTCTCCATAAAACCAAGAAAAAGGGAGCAGAACAAAGAAACTATTGACACGGTGCTCCTGATTTTAGCTTCCTGTCACTCACATAAGTCCGTTTTCCCAACAAGTTAATGGATATTTATTTTCTGGTTTAATGTCCTTCTCTTCCAGTTCATTATCAATCAGTTAATTACTGAACTACCACTGTCATTACCACTCAGGGAATTTCATGGTTCATCCTGGGAAGGTTGTTGGTCTGTCCCTTCTTGGGCACAGCTGATTTTTCTTATTCCCTCCTCTCCTGTTATGAGCCTGGTCACAACTCCCAAGAAAGAACAGTTTCCAATGACTTGCCTTTGCCTCAAAAGTGATCTCTGATAATTTTCTGATAATTCTGAAAAATGAATATTTTCTGTGTGATTTTCCTTTAGGACTTACTAAAGGTCTTTCATCATCATTTTATTAGGTCTGAGTGATTTTATTTATGTGTTGGCAATTTTGATTGCATGCTGGACATTGTGAATTTTATGTGTTTGGGTGCCAAAGATTTTGCATCATTTTAAATATTTTTGGGTTTTGCTGTTAGATGCAATTAGGTTACTTGGAAACAGTTGGATCCTTTAGAAGCTGGCATTTAAGGTTTGTTAGGCTTGTCTAGACCGTCTTTAGGCAGGGCTAATTTGGCCTCATTACTGAGGAATACTTATTGAAGGACTCCATTCGATGGCTGTGTATTAGGGGGTCTTTTCACCATGGCTCTGGAGCACATTATCTATTTCTGGTCCTATGTGACCTTCAGGAATTGTTCTGCTTCCTCCTTGGAGCAGTTGTTTCCTGGCTTCTGGGAGTTTCATCATGCATGTGCTCTGAGTACTCAGCCAAAGAGGGGGATCCCCAACAGATCTCTGAGCTCTCTCCACTTTGCTACCTTCCTGTATGAGTTCTACCCATCTTCAAGTCCCTAACTCTGAACTCTGTCTCCACAGCTCAGGGAAACTGTTGGGCTCAATTTGGGTGTCTCATACCTGAGCTGCAGTTTGGATGTTTCCCCCAGGCTGTGAGCTGTAATAGATTGACTTACTTCACATGTTTCCCTTTTTACTGGGATCACTGCTTTATGCTGCCTATTGTCCAGTGCCCAAAAAACATTGCTTCTCCTATTTTGTCTGTTTTCATAGTGGTTTAGGGTGTGAAGGTAAATCCAGTTCCAATTACTCATTAATCATGGCCTACAGTGGAATTTATCCAAGTGGAAAGTTTTGGGTTAGGAGTTCTGGTTGGGAGAGCATAGGATTGTAGTCAAGAAGACCAGACCTATCACCAGGCTGCCTGCATTCAAGTCCTGATGCTTGTGACTGGCCTATGGTGATTATGTTATCTCTCTCTGTTCTCAGTCCCTTCATCTGAAAATAGAGGTAATAAATGTCCCATAGGCCCTAAAAGTAATGGTGATGACAAAAAATTGAAAATCTTCTCAGTCATGGCAGCCTTACTGGAATAAGATCTTGGAAAGCTCATGATAATTTAGATACATACATAAATTCTGGAAAAGTTGTTAAGAAATCATTTATATTATTTCCTAAGTCAAATCTCATATATTTGTTGAGAAAACAGAACTTTAAAAGACAAGCTATTTCCACACTTTTGGAAGGCCACAAACCCAGTCATTTTGAATTATAGTAATTGGATAAAGAGAATTCTTTGCTTAAGAAAATTTCAGTGCGATAATCCACCATTATGGAACCTGCCACACTGGGTCATGGTTTATATGAATGTGAGAATTATAACATTTAATTTTTGCTATGTAACTATCAACTTTAATTTCAGTGGCTTACAACACTAAATCTTTGTTTCCAGGATCACGGGTCTGCAGCTTGGCTATGGGTTGGCTGATCTAGGCTGGGCCAAGCTGGACTCTAGACTTGACTCTAGACAGTCAGGTTGAGATCTGTTCCCTGTGTGTTGCTTCCCAGGTGGCCCTGCGCATGGTCACCAGATTCATCCTTGAAAATCAAGAACTTGCTCCTGTCTCCCTCAGACTGTTTTGTGGTCACCTTGGGAATAAACGCATCACTGGTGTGAGGGCTTCATCATGTCCTTATGTATTTGGAGTAATTGATGCCCTCTGAATGGCTGTTCCCATTCCTAAGAACTGAAGCTGAGTCTTGGGGGAGGTGCTTAAGAGGCAGCTTTAGTTCCTCAGAGTTGAACAAGTGGCCTAAATGGTGGGCTTATGGTGTCAGGGAGGTGAAGACATCCTGCCTGTTTTTTAAATTTAATTTTTGTTATTATTATTTTTTATAGTCATAGAACTTTGAGTCAATAATAAACATAATAATTTTGTATAGTGAATTCAAAAGTATAGTTAATATTATAAGTGATAGCATCATTTAAAGAAAAAAATACCCACTTAAGTACAATCGGTATCGCTCTCATCCACTTTCTGTTTTGTTCATGAGGCTTTCTCAATCTTTGTTTTCCTTCTACCCAGAGACTCTGATTCTTTTGTCTCATTGGCTGACTCGGAGACAGTCACCCGGAACTTATCTATGGCTTTGCTCTCCCACTGTGCACAAGGCTGCTGTGTGACAAGCGGGAGTCCCCACTGTTCTGCCTGTTTCCGCAGCGCCTTGGCTTCCCTCAGGCACTCTCCCATCTCTCAGGGAGGAGGTGCCAAGTTCGGCATGTGCTGTGGCTGCACGGGTCCGTTCTTCACCTCTGGTCATGTTCCACCTCCTCTGTCTCCTCACGCGGTCACACCGCACATCCTGACAATCTGACTTTCACTATTATGAAAGGAATTCCAGGTTAAGGATTTGGGTAATTAAGAACAAAAATAGATAGATTAGTTAAGTTTCTCAGTGTACTTCTTGTTTTAAGGTTCTAATCTGACCCATTTTTTTAAGGTTTATGCATTTTATTTATTTATTTATTTATTTTACAAATAGTTTATTGTCAAGTTGGTTTACATATAACACCCAGTGCTCATCCCCACAAGTGCCCCTCTCCGTGACCATCCTCCCTCCCCCCCATATCCATCAGTCCTCAGTTTGTTTCTCAGCATTCAAGAGTCTCTCATGGTTTGCCTCTCCCCCTTTCCCCCACCATTTCCCCCCTTCTTCTCCCCCATGGTCCTCCGTTAAGTTCCTCCTAATCCTCCTATACGTGCAAACATATGATATTTGTCCTTCTCTGCCTGACTTATTTTGCTCAGCATAACACCCTCAAGGTCCATCCATGTTGCTACACATGGCCAGATTTCATTGTTTCTCATTGCCATGTGGTATTCCATCGTATAGATAAACCACATCTTCTTGATCCATTTGTCCATTGATGGACACTTAGGCTCTTTCCATGTTTTGACTGTTGTTGAGAGTGCTGCTATGAACATTGGGGTACATGTGCTCCTATGCATCAGCACTCCTATATCCCTTGTAATCTGACCCAGTTTTAGAATTCTCACTTAATCAACTTGTCACTTTACCTTCTTGGCCTTTCAGACTTTCTGCAGAAACTCAAATTCTTTCCAGATCGTAGTACTGCCTTTGTGTCACCTCTACTATTTACTTGCTCTCTGAGCTTTCTGAGACACCTGTATTTATCCTCTTCAACAATTTATGCTGAATTCCTTCTTTACTGCAAGTGTAGCTTCTCTTCTTTCCCCTTGTATTCTATTTTTTACATTACCACCCATCTGTTGATAGAGACTTTAAAAATATTGTTTTTAATTTTTAATTTTTTCCAGCTTTATTGAGGTATAATTGATAAAAATTGTATAAATTTAAAGTATACAACATGACATTTTGATATGTATATACATGATGGAATGATACAGTCAAGCTAATGTGAGATTACCACATCTGTCACTTCATAGTTACATAGTTTGTATGTGGTGAGAACATTTAAGATCTACTCTCTTAGCAAATTCTAAGTATACAATACAGTATTATTAACTATAGTCAAAATGGCATACATACGGTCTCCAGTACTTGTTTATCCTGTGTAACTGAAACCTTGTACCCTTTATATTTCTGTGATGGATCACGTGCAGTCAGGGCCCTGGAAGCCTGGATGCAAGGAGATGGGCTTTGTTCTGAATCTGTAGGGGCTGGACTGGTGCCGAAGTACGCTGGAGTCCACCTGGTATCTAGGTCTAAGGGTCAGGATTGGTGCCTGGGTCCTTGAGGGCAGGCCTGGAATCTGTGTATGGGTGGTGGGTGGGTTGTAGGTCTGCTGGGGTGGGCCTGGAGCCTGGGTCCACTGGAACTTGAGGCCAGGGAGCCTGGCCTGCTGTGTTAGGACAGTCGTGGAGCCTGAGTCCATGGGTGATGGC